CTCATCCGACCTCATCTCAGTCAGCCCTTCTGTACAACGCGACCTGTTGCCACGCCCTTATTTCTTTGTTTTCTCGCACATAGCGCATATCGCGCTCGCGTTCTCGGCATCAATTCGACGCGAGCCCGTAGGTCACAACGACGCCTCGCACATCAGGGGCTCTGGCAGTACGGTGTCGCGCCAAAATTTGAAGATGACGGTCCGCGTTTGATACTAGATGTTCACATCCAGCAGCCTTTTACTCTCTGCACATTGAGCCTCTTCTACTCAACTTCCTTCAGGTCTTTTCCTACTACCACGCGAGGGGCGCGGCGCACTCATGGAAGCGTTCACCGAGGATGATACTGCGAGCGATTGCGTGCCTGCCCATCAGCCCCACGCACGCCTACCGCGATATCACCGTACTGTTGCGACATCCCGAACGCGCCTTCCTCGCCCCAGAACACTCAGTATCTCGGTCGTCCTTCGTCTTTTCGCATACCAGTCTAGCTTCACAAACGCTGGCACACCAAAGTGGAGTATCAGGGGCAAAGACAATGCTAGAGCAGCACGCTGGACGACGATTTAGAACGTCGAGGAGAATAGATAATGCCAATACGCGGCCCGCCGAATGAGCTTATGAGAAGGATAAACGCGCAGGCCCAGAAGTTCTCGTTCAAGTCCTCAGCTTGTACGCGACGAGTAGGAAGCAGGCATGTCACCCAGACGGAGTTCGGTCACCACTGCATTATCTATCCTTACTGTCGACCTTATCTTGAGAGTCCATCCCAGTCACGCTGTCGTCACCTCTGATACCACCAGCCAAGAAGGTTCCTTCCGTTACCCTCTCAGTCCTCCTCGATTCTCTTGCCCAGACTAGGTTAGCTTCCATGAGTGTCCGATGAGTTATGCAGTATCGAGATCATTGTCCACAGATCGAGACCCCGTAGACTTCGTTCCCGGTTCTATCTCCGTGCCAGAGATGTTTCCATCGGACCACTGGTCGGCGTCTTCGAGCCACTCAGGATTCACGTCACCCCGATGGATTCCTTGCTTCAGCCTTTTCCATGCTGCGTACACATCAGAGTCCTCTACGAGTGTTAATTCCTCTTTGGACGACTTCTTAAGCTGATGAAGAAGCTTCTGGTAAGAACGCTCATACCATCCGCTCTCAACCTTGATATCGGCTGATTTGAGACAGCACTCGATGTACTCTTCTGTCCCGATAGTGAGTACGAGAAGCAAGACCCAACTGTCGTTGTGCAGCGTGTGTGGTGCTTCAGACACTATCAGTGAAACGATTCCTTCCCGGTCTTGCTGAGGGGTGTCGAGCAGACTCTTAACGCTCATGTCCGTCAGTTGTTTCCACTGGACTTGGAACGTTTTCGTCGGGTTTATCGTAGGTCGTCGTTCGTGTGCTTCCGATGGACAGAAATCCCTGTGCCATGGCTCATGCTCGTTGCTTGGTTCTGAGATAGGAGAGAGTGGATCGATGTCTTGCACAAAGCGCAGCAGGATGCCGATGTATTCCATCGGGTAAGTGCTGGCAAAACCGACTGTGTCAAGTACTATGTACGGTGTTTGTAGGCCATGGCCTTGAGCCATATCATAGTGATTCTTCTCGTAAAAGCTGTACGCTTTCTCATGCTTGGCTGACAACCAGCTCGATCGTCTTGCTGCTCGCACCAAAATAGCCTCAAGTATCCGCTTTTCCAACCTCTTAATGTGCACAGCACTGGAGGGGTTCGATGTCGCTTCTTGAGGCGCACTAGATGCTGAGCTCTTGCTCTTTTTCGTCTGAGAGGATTGAGCTTTAGCAGCGCCTGGAGTCTTCTCTTCTTCGGTGTTCTGTTCTTTGCTAGCAAGAGATGTGACGTATCGAACTTCTCTTATGTCTGTCCAGTTCCGATCGACGACACCGAGGTCAGCGTGCAGCGGATTCACCTTTGCCGAATCGACCCGAATCAGGAACAAGTCGTAAGCATGCAGGCTGTTCTGAACATCCAGATTCTGGCCTTTCATGGATGCTACATTCTTTTGCTTCTTCCACGTATCCTTCGCGTCTTTGGCGACACGCTGAGGCCAGAACCACTTCTCCGTCCCTTCTAGCAAGTAAAGGTAATTTCTCTTTAGGCCCAATCGCCTGACAGCTATGATTTTCTCGTTCATGACTGGACCTGGGAGATCGTCGGGTGCCTCCTGGAGCCAAAGCTCGGCCATATCGTCCGGGATTTTGATCGTGTCTGAGGTTGGGTAAGCAGTGCTCTCGCTGGTTGCTATCGTGGATGTCTCAGCCTGAGGCTGCGGTTCGTCGTTCTGCACGGCAGCAGTTGTTGGCTTTGATTGATCTTTCGACATGCTGTGTTTGGGATGATGATTGCGCGATCAAAGCAGGTAACGAGACGTTGATAACAGCCATAGCACACCTGCCCTCTTATACCAACGCCTATTATACCAGCAATCATGTCACCATCACCAGTGTGGATTGTTGCAAGCTTGCTACATGTTACAAGTGGCCATATCAAACTTAAGAGATGAATTGACAGCTATGGAGTGTGGCAGCTGAAGCTATAGACATTTTCACAAGGCTGACCCTGTCTACCTAGTTCTCGTCATCGGCCAACGCCACAGTCTTCTTAAGCTTCAACTTCTTTGCTGGCGGTTGCTCACCGATCGCAGCAGTGGATACCCTCTTGCCCGGTTTTCCAAGCCTAGATGTTCCATCCACTACCCCCTCTTCGTTATCAGTCACCGCTGACATGTCAGGTTTTCTTGAATCAGGGCCTGACTTCGCAAGCGCTTCTCTCTCCTCTGAGGCACCCTGATGCTGAGGGGCATGAGTTAGGTCTGGTAGATCTTGGTTAGCTTCAGTGCCATCTCCTTCAATCTCGTCATTCCCTGACTGGTCTTCAGCATCTTCTGCTTCAACATGCTCGTCGTGTTCGTTCGCCAGCTTACCGTGTCTCCTACCCTTCAATGGCCGGGCGCTCTTCTCGTTGGCTGGAGCGTCGTCTTCATCTCCAGAGGTGTCTGTACTGTCGTCGTGTTCAGAATCGCTACGTTGTTCGCGGTCGGATTCAGGCCTCGGAGCAGCGTCATCATCTGGCTTTTTTGCGTTACTCTCGCTGGCGAACTGCTCGTCCTGCAGGGATTGCTGAAGCAACCAGAAGGTGTGTACTGCTTCGGAATAGCTCAGCTTCGCATGTTCCTGATACTCTTCCATGCAGGTATGGATAGTATTTCTAGACCGAGCGTCGTGCGCGATCAGCCCCACCTCCTCTTCCGCTTGCTCCGCTTCGTCGTCTGCGAGGAGGGCCAGGGCGAGCAGATAGGGCCATGAGCTTGGCCTGGCGACATGGGGACTGTCGGTGATGATACGACGACCGAGTTCTTTTCGTTCCGCTATGGTTGGCGGCACAATCTTGACTAACAAGACTGGTCCAGTAGTTCGCTTTCTCTGCCAGACATGGAAGTCTTCGATGAAGACAGTCCAGATGTTCGTCAACTTGATCTTGGATGTTTGTCCCGTTGTTGTTGCTGTTTCGTTGTCATCATTGGACGTTCCGACCTTGTTCGATGCAGAAGTCCATATGACATTTACATCACTCAAGTTTTGATAGGTCTCTTCGTTGAGCTGGTTCTCATCGACCTGGTTTTCATCGGTCTCGCTGTCGACGGGGTTGCTGTCATCGGGGTTGCTGTCATCGATGTAAGGCTTCCAGATTATCTCGACGAGCTCTTGAGCACTTTTGGAGATGGATGCCGTAGCTTTCGCTTCGTCCTCGTCCGTCGCATACTGATAGCTACCTTCCTCTGGTTCCACCAGCCACGAGCTGGGCTGAAGGACCTCATTCAATATGTATATGAGCATCTGATGCACACGGTCGTAGTCCTCGTTGCTGAATCGTGTGATGAACTTCTCCGGCCCGTCTGTCAGCACGACATTTTTGAGAACCCTTACTTGATTCCAGCCAGGTACGTTCACATCTATCCAATCATTCTCTTCGACTTTCTCGAATCTCTCGACAGTGTTCTTGTACAGCTTCGTCGCATGGGTCTTTCTCATCCACTCAAGCTCGCAGTCGTTCCATATCAATACCTCCACGTTAGCATTCTCCCATCTCTTCCTTCGCGCGATGATGATGGTCTTGTCGGGCCTCTTCGGGTCCTTCTCCTCTTTGTCGGCCAGCGCCGCCCACGCTATCTCGAATTTAGGGGGAACTTCGAGAGCCTGCGGATGTTGTTGCTCTTCTCCGTCAGTAGCGATGGAAGTCGCGGGTTTAGCAGCTTTGGCCTTTCTCCTTCTCTTACTCGAATCCACCTTACCGTCGTCATTCCCGTCGTCATGTTCTTCGTCATCTTCACGCATATCTGGGATCCCCGTTCTCTTCTTTCGTTGTTTTTTACGAGGCTCTGCTGTCGGTTTGCCTGCAATGCCTCCTGGCATTTCCACCGCTTCGACCATTTCAGTATCGCCACCATGATTGCCCACTGCGCCCCTAGCATACACGAGTGTTTTCAACCTAGACTTCGCTGGTACTTTGGAGTTATGTGGTATCTTCGGCCCCGTATTCTTCTCGTCAGTTCCATTTTTGCTGTCGTCCATGTTGTTGCTCATATGTCGGATCAAAAGATTGAACGTTGAGGAAGACTGTGTATGTGGGCGAGAATATTGAATTGAGCAAGTGAGGAGACCGAACGGCTGAAGATGAAGGTCTTATGCTTTGATCAGTTTGCTACAATTGTCAGCGACTTTGTGCGCAGCCAAACTTCATTGTCACGACATGAGCAATCTAGCAAATAGACAGAAAGCCCTAGATGACTCCAATGTGTGTTGAGGGTGCTGGAATGGCAGACCTATATCCCAAGAACTCGTTGTCTGTTGGCGCTTTTCCAGTAGCTGAGATGCAGTAAGGTTCAGAAAAACGCCCAGGTTGTTGTCAATACATGGCTTCGCTTCTGCATCCTGTTCAGGCTTAACATCTTCAATCAACAAGTGCATTCATCTAAACTAACATCTATCAGTCCTCCAGCTCTTCATCCACGTCGTCCTCAGCCTGTTCATCCTCGCCATCCTGCCCATCGCTGGCTTCGCCATCACTCCCATCGACCGACGCTGCCACTATAGCACTCCCATTCTCATCAGCCTCATTCACCACATACCAGCGAACCTCATCACGAGTCGCCATGTACGTGCGCTCAACGCAGTCAACCGGCCGCTTCTCCCAGTCGCCACAGTATGTCCATAGGAACTCGTCCCGCGTACGCTCATGCCAGTCCTCTCCCACTTCGATACCAACTGTGTCCAATTTCTCTGCGATCTCATCGGCCAGAAGGAAGAGGCGTGTAAACATGAGTAGCAGAGGGTGTGTGAGGAGATACGGCGCATGCGTTGGGAACTGTGCGACGGTTTCGCTTAGCGAAAGGGCGGTAGCGTGTGCGTTTTTGAGCGTCCAAGTAGGATTTCTCAGCTCACGGAGACTGGTGTCGAAGAGCGGGGTGAGGAAGTGGACGACGGGGTATGAGCGGCGCTTTCCTGGGTCGGTAGCGATCTCTGCGTCGATTCTGCCGATGTATTTGACCCGGATTGCTCTATAAGGTAGGTCTGTGTCCTCGGCCTTGACAATGTAGCGGCTTGACCCTGCTTTCCCCCGCATGACACGATAGGTGTGTCTTATGACCTCTGCAGCGTCTGGTGTATTTTCCTTGAGATTTTTCGCGATCTGCTCCGCTCGCTGCCTGTGTTCCTTCGACCTAAAGACCCATTCCTCATCCTTGAAGAACTCGGATGGTGCGACGCCGTCCGGTTCCAGGAGTATCGTCTCTCTGAAGTTATCGAAGACCGTCTTTCTCATGCGGAGGATATGTTCGGCGGAGTCGTCTGCGCTAGCGTTCGCACACTTGATGACCGTGTTGTTTTTGAACCCGAATGTACGTTTCGCCTTCTTAGTGTCCCTCCACTCTTTCAGAACCGTCGCAGCAATGCCCTTGGGACTCACCATGGGCTCCCAAGTTGGGGCCCAGTCGATGAGGTATTCGCGCTTTCCATCCTCGTTCTCCCGCTCGGCTAAGACTCTTCGGATATCGTGCGTATTCGTCGTTCGTGGCAGGTTCGCAGGAGCGCTTGAGGACTTCTTGGAAGCTTTGGGTGGCATCTTTCGGTATCGCTCGCTTGGGTTGTTGAGGACCTGACAAAGATGGTTGTGTTCTGCATAATGTATTAAAAACTGTTGTTTGCTAGTGAAGGGCGAAGAGCTATGCAGAATACATCAGACCATCGCAGTGTCGATGCGTCGACGATGGAGGGTCCTGGAGGTAGTCAGTGATGATCCAACTGACTGGGGAAACATGTGAGCGTACTGTATTGCTCCAGGAGGCTGCGTGCCGATTGAGTGTGTGAGATGATGTAGGGGAGTGGCAGCTACAGAGGGACCCAGAACCATCAAAACAGCACACGCAGCACCATACTGAGCACATCCACAATGTCATCATCACTGCATATTGCAAGATCTCACATAATTGATGGAGAAGAGTTCTATTCACGTGCATATTTATAAGGCGCACAGCGGCGCCATCCCCCCAAGCCGCACCACCTCACCACCTCTGCCACCACCAGGAACTCAAGATGTTTTGCCCGAAGGCCCCAATTCCTCTCCACCCCACTCAGATCTACTGTCCGAAGACCGGCCTGTCAAGATATGTCAGCTTAGCTCGTCAATGTGTGATCAATTAAGACTTACTTCCACTCATCCAGCTCGCGGTCGAGCTTCCAGGCCGAAACCCCCACCTTCATCCTCTCCCTCTTCTCCGCCGCAACCGCTCTCTCCCACCGGAGCTTCTCCTTGATCATGCCCTTGGCCTCGGCCAGGGCGGCCGCCTTGTCGGGGTTGGAGATGGCGATGCGCCACACCGCGTTCCAAGATGGCCCCATGTGGGCTGCGGACGTTGGCGGCGATGGCGCGGGTGCATAGTCGACCTCGGGGTCGAAGGTGAAGGGCATGTTGGCAAGTGTTTGATGTGATGTAGGTATCAGGGTGTGGTATGGTGAGTACGTTGGAAAGTTTTGGAGGGTGCCAGCTAGGATACACAGACGCGCAAGACTAAAGGTTTAATTACAATTCCTCGCTCTTCACCTACAAACGGGCAGCTCGACCAATCAGTTCCAGCCCACCCAACTCTTACTCATTACACGCCACACCCTCACTTCACCTGATCTCAAATCTCCCATCTTAAAGCTCTCTGGCTTGACCTTCTTGTGCTCACGTCCCTGCTCCCAAGCCCTTACCTTCTTCTTACTCCCATCCCACTCGACAACAACACCGACGTGATCCGGCTTCCCAACATCCATCGCGTACTTAGCATGCATTGGCCCAGTCTTACCCTGGAACTTTGCATTGCGGAAGCTGATGATGTCACCAGGGCGAATCTCATCATATACTTGGGTTGACGCGTTCGCTAGGTTGGCGTACACAAGCGCGCCGTAGGAGCGAGTTGAAATTGGGGGCAGTGCGTCATTGAAGGGCTTAAACAGCTCCTCAATCAGTCCCTGTGGCGTGCCATTGCCTACGACAGTGTTCTGCTTCGACTCAATAGTCTTGGCTATCGTGCGACCAAACTGCTCGTACGCGTTCTCCAGCTGATCAGGACGCTGGCTTGGAGGCGGCGGCTCATTGCGCTGTTCAAGATCCACGTCGGAGACGTTGGTGGACTCGAAGCGGGCGGAAATGATCGTTTGTGAGTAGTCAAGGTAAAGAACTTTGATGAGTTTCTCCACAGTGTTGCCTGATTGCGACTCCTTCATGTCTACCAGGACGTCTTTGCGAGCTTGGAGTGATGGGGGAAGTAGCTTGGGCTGGGTCCACCAATGCGACGACATCCCCAAATCGATATCGTTTGCAATGAAACCTTGATTCGTTGCCGGGCGAGGCTGATCCATGGAAGATCGAGTCGTCAGCATTTGGGCTGCATCAAGCGACTTCCGAGTGTTCAGCATCCGAGGCGGTGCCTCCGTTGCGACTGGCGAGAACATAGAAACTGGACGTTCCTGCGGTGGCGGCGGGACCATTCTTTCTTGAGCTGGAGGAGGCGGAGCTTGTAGAGGTGGAAGAGGCGGAGGTGCATGCTGGTGTGGAGGAGCCTGAGGTGGTGGAGGCGGTGGCCTATCGTGAGACTTCCGAGCCGGCGGGGAAGAGTACAAATCATCCTCTTCATCTGATTCACCCGCTTGACGATGTGGTACAGGAGGCATCGATGGTGGCATGGGTGGTGGTGGGCGATTCTGCGGGGGAGGAGGCTGGCTTTGTGGGGGCGGTGGCACTGCTCGAGGAGCTGGAGGCGCCGCGGCTTGCGGAAGGGGTGGGCCAGTGTACTTGAAAGGGTCATATTCTTCATCGTCATCGTCCATAGGGGCGCTGCGAGTCGGTGGTGGTACCGGTGGGAGAGGCGGTGCACCACGGGGGGCATCTGTTGATGGCCGACTGGGCCCCTGTTGAGGTGGTGGAGGCGGAACTGCACGAGGTGCAGTAGGAGGCAGAGGCGGCATTCCCTGAGGAATAGTGGGCGAGCGTGCTGAAGTTGGCTCGTCCGTCAAGGTATTGTCTTCTACGCTGGAATCGCGAGCATGTGACTTCAAGGCGTCCTTGTGAGTTGCCTCGGGCGCCATGTCGGTGTCATAGTCACCTTCGTAGTCAGTCTCGCCCTCGTTACGGTCCAGTTTGCGAATCGGAAGATCTTCATGGCGCGATGGAGGTGCCTGCGTTGGTGGAGGTGGCGGAGGCGGACGGCTCATTGTAGGCGATGTAGGACCCGCTGACGGAATGGGAGGCACGCGTCTTTCTGCCAGATCCTGAGCTGGCTCGCCAGAAGCGAAATACGAAGCCCGCCTATTGGATGGCTGGGAAGGGGCAGACGGGGTAGGGGCAGTGTCGGTCATCTCATCACCAGACTCAGATCCGGGCCCAGGAGAGAGAACCTGCGGAGGAGGTGGCGGTACCGGTCGAGCTAGGTACTGTCAGTGTTGTTCACGTATTGATAGCCGATATGACTTACAGGCTGATGGGACAGGAGGGGGAGCAGGACGTCCTGGAGAATGTTAGAACCAGTGGAATGGACGTAAGAATTATTGATAGAGCCAAGTGCACACACATACTAGACACGCATACAGTCATGACATATTCCGACAGACCGTCATAAGTGACATATGTCTTCGATAAGGTCTCGGAAGATGGCGACTGCAGGCGGCCTTGGGCATGGTGTACAAAAGCGCGGATTGGTTTGCGAGGAATGATAAACTTACGGTCTGTTGGAACAGGTGGAGGACCATCGCCAGTAGTTGGCCGGGCCGGCTGAGATGCAACCTCCTCTACGTCTGGCACTTCGTTCGCTGAGTGAGTGCCTGTGACGGGGTGCGAAGTTTCATCCTCCTTCTCGACAGAAAGCGTGCGATCTTCAGGTTCTGGGCTTCGGACGGGCATCATACCAGGCATACCAAACATAGGAACTCGTTGCTGAGGCATGCTGTACTCCTCAGTTTCTTCGGGCCTTTTCTCGGTGGTCGATTTCTTCTTCTTCGGTGGAAGACCACCGCCCATGGGCATACCACCTCCGAACATACCAGGCATACCGGGCATGCCGGGAATGCCACCGCCCAATCTCCTCATGCGCTCGCGTAACTCCTCCTTCCGTCTCAGCTCGGCAGTCTCCTCGTCTTCCTCTTCCTCCTCCTCTTCTTCGGGCACGTCTTGCTCATCACCAACGTTGGGCTCTTCCGTTGGGGCAGTGGGTGCTCTGGGAGGTGGCGGCGGCGGGTGCCTGCTCTTCGGTCGGTCCTGGTCCTCTTCGACACTTGTGGATTCTCGTCCAGCATCTTCAGTATCTCCAGCTGCTGATTGGTCAGCGTCGTTCTCGCTGAGGAGATCGCGGTCACGGTTGAGCGCGTCTGGAGAGCGGATATCGTGCGATGTTCGCGGAGGGCGATTCTGGTCCATGGACGCACGACCCTTGGAAGCTCCACTTGTCACGCGCTCGAGGCCAGTGTCCTCGCTGTCTTCAGCGGGTGCGTCTTGGGACTCAGTCCTCTTGGCCACAGGCGGTCTCTTTGGCTTTTCCTTGTGCATAGCCGCGGCCCTTTCTGCCTGCTCCTGCTGCTGTTTCTGCAGCAGAGCGATGCGTTCCTTCAGGCTAATCTTGGGCTGTGGCTCTTCTTCGCCCTCGTTCGCATTTGCCTTGTCATGCGCGACCAATCCCGCGCGCTCCGCATCGTTCTGGGTCTGCGCCTGACGCTCTGCAATCTCAGGATCCTCTTCGCGACGGTAGGTCTTGACGGGTGGAGCCTCTCGAGTGGGAGGAACGTAGGCATTGCGGCTCGGCGGGGGAGCCACGAAGGGCTTCTTGATGAAACTAGGGGCGCCGCCAGAGGGCTTAAAGGGTTTGGGCGGAGGATCAGTGGGCTTGTTGAAAGCAGCAATGCGGTCCCGGAAGGCATTGTTCTTGGGAGCGACAGGCGGAGGAGCCTTCTTCGCGGGAGGAGCGGGCTTGGACGACTCCGACTGCGGCGGCAGGGCTTCCGGAGCCTTTGCGCTCGACGCAGAGCGAGGCGACATGGGCGACATGGGCAGCGGTGTTGTTTTGGCGGCGCTGGGCACCTCAATGGGAGGGGCCTGGGGCTTTGGCGGCTCTGGTTCTTGAGGCAGCACTGGCTCTGGCTCCTGCTGCGGTATTTGGGGCGTGGGAGGGGCTTCCTGCACAGGCGGCTGCTCTAATGGCTTGTGCCGCGAAGCTCGGTTGGGTCGTGGTGGCGGCTCTGGCTCGTAGCGCTCGACGAAGTTCCTGGGGAAGAGGCCATCGTGCTTGGTGCCGCTGTCGTCGGTGTATTCGCCCACGTACCAGTCGTCGCCCTCCTCCTCGGTGACGGAGATGATCTGGCCGACCTTGAAGCCCAAGTCGTCTTCGTGGTTAGACACATAGTCGAAGACGGCCCTGACTTTGTACATGGCGGCGGGGTGTGTCGATGGCTGCAGAGGTGGTCCGGCGGCGGAAGACGCAATGGGGGTGACAGCTGCGGTCCCTGCCTGACAGCGCTACAGCAAGAATGTGTGGAAGCTCTCTAGGTGCACGGCGGGTCTCGGACGTGTAGCTGCGATGACGCCCATGTCAGCCTGGGCAGCAATGCGGGACGCGCGGGTCAACGGGGCAGCCTACCATTCAATGCTTGCACCCATCCAGCTCTGGGCGAGGGGCAGTGGGAGATATGAGGGCTGCTGCAGGTGCCTCGTGCGAACAAGTGTGGTGACGAAGCTCAAACAGCCCCGCCCAAGTCCCCGACGCTCCGCCAAGCACGCCCAACGAGGTTCCACTTCACACTCTAGCCACGACGATCCCAACACCAACACAGGCCCGCCATGCCGCCCAAGTCCATCCTGAAGAACGCGACCGTCTCTACCAACGCGCCCCCGGGCAGGAAACCCGTGAATGCGCGCCACCTCGCAGTTGCCCGCCACCATGCGACGGTACTTGAAGACCGCAAGCGCGTCGAGGCAGAGGTGCTGGAGGCCGTCATGACCCTCATGGACTTTCCCACCTCGCCAGACGCCGATGCTAAGCGACCTTCGCCCTCCGACGCTCACTTCTTCCAGAAAGCAGTAATTCCCTTTCAGCCCGCCGACTACGACGCCCTCATCGAGGAGCGCAACATTGCCGACAAGTGCGGATACGCTCTGTGCCCGCGCCCCAAGAAGAAGGCGCGATCCACAGCGAGGAAGCAGTTTGTTGACACTGATCACGGTGTTGAAATAGTAGACAGGAAGGTGCTCGAGGTGTGGTGCTCAGACGACTGCGCAAGACGCGCACTCTACGTCAAGGTGCAGCTGAACGAGGAGCCGGCGTGGATGCGACACGGCGGGTACGGCGACAAGATCGAGCTCATGGTCGACAATGCCGACGAACATGAAAAGGCCCTACCGCTACGTCTCAAACAGGAGAGTGCGACCACTGCTGACGCAGATGACGAAGCAGACCTAGACGCAGCCTGGGCCGCCCGCGCAGACGCCATGACTGATCTCGCGCTCGAACGAGGCGAGAAGCCGGGCCACCTTACCAAGGCAAACAACGACCTCGTCCAGGACCAGATTCTCGAGCGCTCTTCCAGCAACGCGCCGCCTCAGCCACCGTCGCTTCCTGCGCAAACGTCTGACCACACCATGGCTATTGAAGGGCACGTTCCACGTATAAACAGGAAAGATAAGGACGACGACGAAGACGATGATCAGGACTGGGACAAACACTTGCCTGGATGAGTGGGGATGACACCAGTCATTGCATTACGACATTCATACACCGGCATGCACACATAGAAGATTGCAATGATATGTATAGACCTCTCGCCGCGCGGTATGCGTTTCAAAGACCACACGGATAAAACCTTTGGTTGAAGAGGTGAGTCCTGACCTGAAAGATGGCGGACAGCATATTGCGCACGCGAGAAGAGTATGCATGTCAGAAATGCTCGCGACATGTGCGCTGAGGCGGAGGACGAATCACGCCTCCATGGAGGGAATGAGATCTTGAATACTCCTGTAGATATCTATCAGCGTAATAGTCCATCAACATGAAAGTGCATTTAACACCGTCTCGTGCATCTTGACGTGGTGATGTGACCCAGCCTGCAACCCATCAGAAGCCGCGGAGGTCTCGCACGGGCCACTCCGCCGCAAACTCCACCCGACATTTCGATATGCACATCGGGATCATCACTTCAGCCGCCATTGAACGCCCACACGTGGCTGTCGCATCGCCAACATGGCTCTAAGCCGCCAGTCCCTCTCGCCTACTTCCAACCTCCTCCGGAATTCTCGCCTCTTCTCGCTGCCCAACCCACTTGCACGACCGCCCGTGAGCGACACCTACGGCGCGGGCATCTCCAAGTCCTCCGACACCGCGACCCTGCCATACCCGACTCACCAAGCGATTGCAACGACAAAGTCCTCATTAGCACGTGGCGATTGGGGTCTGAAGCGGCCGATTCCGTCAAGGAGTCATCTGGTACAAGTGAGCGACCCAGTACTGAGGGTTACTCAGCTGGATACTATCGAGCATGTCACGGACTTCGAATCGGCGGCAGATCATGTGCGGACAAGACAAAAGTGGGAAGAAATGGGTGTGCCAATGATCAAGGGCCTGTCATTGATGAGAAACCGCGGCGTGAGCGACGACTTACTACCGGGAGCTTTTGAGGTTCGGGATGATACTACGAGTTACGACACAGATCTCGGACTGGATGAGGCCGGACTTTACCTAAAGGCTCTCAAGAAGAGCATGCCTTCGGAGAGAGTCAAGGCTCAATGGGACGACTTCAACGCCACCTGGAGAAAGAGGTGGGAAGAAAAGCTCGCGAGTTTCAGGGCTCGTGGATGGGGCCTTCACCTTTCCGACTTTAAATCTTTTCAGAAAGAAGCGAGTAAGAAGTCATCAAACGATAAGCCTTGGCTAGAGGAATTCGTAGCCCTTCAGAAAGAGCAGAGGAATGCAAGGAACGCTCTGAAGCAGCGACTAGAGGCCCCGCAGACTCCAGGATCATTGCAGTTTACACCCTTTACCCCGCCACCCGTGGATCCCGTCGTTCATAATACCAGGCGATGGAAGCACGAGGGACCTTGGCTTCCTGGTATGGGCGCCGAGGACTTCATCTCTTTTCTTACCAAAAAGCTTGCAGGCCGCAAGAAGGAGTTCAATGACTACCTAGTCGAGTATGTCAAGAACAAGATATACGACACTCGTCGTCTTGCCGCTTCCATATCCGGCGAATTAGCACCAATAGACGCCCAAGAAGCTGAAGTCTGGCAAGAGCAACGAGAAAAGGCCTGGCGTCACATCACAAAACCTGAGATTGATGCTGGTATCAAGGCGCTGAGGCAAGAGACTGCAAAGGATCCACTAAGCAGCAAGCTCGTCAGCAAGTTGATACTTCCCTTCTTGAAGCTCCCAGCCATCAGATTCAAGCACACAGCATACAATCCGGACGCTGCCAAGAACGAAGTCGATCAGTACCAATTCGACCAAGAAACCGCGCCCCTCTCCACCCACCCTTCAGCCGGACTCGGCTATCTTCGTCACAAGTCATACCTCGCCAATCACCCCATCCTCGGTCCCCAAGAGAACCCTGCCCCGATACCTGCTCGTGTCATGCAAGCCAGACGCACAGGCACAAAGAACGAGCTCTACGCCCGTCTGGGAGTAGGCGGCTTCGTAGCCAACGATGACCACAGCGGCACAACTTCATACACTGTTCCCAGGAACTATGCGGCTGCCAAGGACGTCGAGACAATTGATGTGGACACGCCCGGTGGCAGGAAGATTATGGTGCAACCCCAGTTTGGTAGCGTCACCAACGACGGGCGCATCCAGATCAAACTGAAGCGATCCGTTGGCCAGGAGGTTGCTGTTGGCCGAGGCGAATTCGACGAGAAGCCGCCAGCGAGACCGTATGCTGAGAAGGTTTCTTTCAGGAATTTGGTCGGTGGAGCAAAGAAGAGTGGGATCAAGGAGTTGGATGAGCAGAGTGAGCAGGGTCAGCAGTTCAGTGAGTTCCTGGAGAGCACGAAGCCTCAGGGACATGCACAGCCACCGAGGGGTTTCCCTGGGATGGCTGAGGCCTTGCGAGGGGACTAGATGGTACAACATATTTGTATTATACTGCACACATTGTATTGTATGAAATGAACATGAGATATCTACACACTCCTCTTCGTTGGCTTTTCAGTTATAAGTCTCGCCAGCTGTACTCAGAAAACGTGTCTACTTGAGCCTTACTAGTCATCGAGATACCAAGTCTTGTACGGGACCCAACCTGACTCCAGTCTCACACAACACGACATGATCAAGTGCAACGAGAGCGAAGAAGCTTCTGGATACCAACGCGACGGGGCAGGCAATAACCGAGTGTGAGTACCTCCATTGAAAGATCATGGGTCCACGCTAGTGGCGAGAATAGTTGCCTACATTCTGAGACACCTGACAGGCTCCGACTTCGGCTTGGCAGAACCTGATATCGAAGGAGGTCGGAGGTGCCGAGAGTTGGACTGCCGTGACGCTTGTTGTAGCTCCTAGAGTGGGCATGATAGCGAGAAAATCCCAAGTCTTTGTTTCAATGTGAGACAGGTGGTAGGCTGGGGCCTATTCGATTTTCTCTGATGTGGACCTTACGTTGGCAGTGGCATGTGATCGTGTCCATGCCGTTCGCAAGCATTGCACTTGAGTCTGATCTTACCGTCCATGGTTTCGACTTCTAGTTCGGTGAAATCTTGCCATGCTTGGCAACTCACTGCAACACACCGTTCAACAGATGTTTTCTCCAAGCTCGGTTCCAGCCCAGCGATGGAACCTGATCTATTCATACCTAACTTTTGGCCTAAGCCAGTCATTCAGCTGCTATCGTACCCATGTAACAAAGCTTGTTGCTCCTGTGCAAGGCTGTGGTTGGTTCTCAGTGGCGATGGGGCCGAAACCTCGTAGTGGCATACGTTCTGCTTACAGGTAGACCAGGCAACCCGGGACGGCGCGTAGATGGTTCCTGTGAGACGTGAGAAGAAACGTGGCTTAGTTTCGATGGAAGTGTCGGATAGACTTGCTTATGAGACATCAGCAATATGGAGTCGATACTGCAATGGGCTGTTTGTCCGAATTTGACTACCTTAATAAGCATCCGAACAGTAAAGAGACAGTGAGACGCTTCCGCCCCGTACCCTTCGCTTCCCACATGTTGGTAAGTGTAGCGCTGCCAAGCCATACGTTTCAGCAGCAGTGCGATCATTTTCGAGTGCGAGGTCCCTTCTCAGTAGGGTGGAGTCTTCAGCACTGGAGCGATGGCATTGGCTGTACCACTCAAGTCTTACACATACGTACACAGTGTACGAGCAGGCGGTGAGCTGTGATAGCTTCAAGTTCGCAGCGGTTCTCCAGCCACCGATAGCGTCAACAAAAATCGCAGAAAGTAAATTTTCGCGTGTGGAAGCCGTCATGGAGGCTGAGCAGCTATGTGACACTGATAGCGGATTGGCGATATGGTGTGGCACAGCACGCCTGAGGCCATTGTCGGCCTAGTCTGTTGAGGCGTCGTGGCTGAGGTAGTAATATCGGTGGACGTTGAGTGCGCCATGGAGATTAGCCGGTACGTCGTTCGTGAAAAGACGGTGGAATAAGATCCTCGTGACAGTGGGACCTGTTAGCCGGAAGAGCATCTGGCAAGCAACGTGACAGGTGCGATATCCGAACAGTACCGAGTCTTTCAAGCTCATGGTAACGCCTTGTGAAGACTGGCATGTGCATAGTACACGCTTCAATTCTGCCAATTACAACCCAATCTTACTCCGTCATCCATCGCTTCGTCCGCGGATGAAAGAGCGCGCGAGACCAACGCCGAAGTGTGGCTGCTCGATGTGTGGCCATGCGCACCTTCATCAGGCCAGTTCCCTTTTGGGATCCGTTAACGCAAATAGCGGTGTCGCAGATTAATGGAGCGGCTCGTCTCCTAGCCACTTGGTAGTTACTCGCCAGTCGAAGGATTCAACCCCCAAAGTATCAGAAAGGTGACGGAAAGCGCAACTCTTACGGCTGGTGGCTGAGGCTGTGAAGCGATGGAAAGGCCAGGGGCCAGGGGGTTGCCACCAAACGGCTCGCAAGCAGCATGCATCGGATGACCGCCACATCCGGCAAACAAAGATGTTTGTGGAACTGTCGCATTCACGCTGACGGCGGTGGAAATTTGTAAGGAGGTCAATATGTTGTCGCGGTCGGTCAATTGCAGCCTCTCGGTGCTACCTACGAGTTGGCGCTAATTGAGGGTTGGAAGAAGGCGCTGACGAAGACTCACCTCCCGTGGGCAGGTGCGACGCACACTGTCCGAGTGCTCTTTCCCGACTTCGGCTGGGTCAAGGCAGCAAGGTGGCCATGAGCTCACATGCTCAGCAATTCGCCTCCCCACCCTGATCAATGGTGCGCATCACGGCCATTCGTGAGCACCTCTTGCGCGATTCTGCAAGAAATGCAAGAAAACTAGCGACGCGCAATATAATCGCGGTGTCGAAGTTTGAGAACGCGACGCACGAGGCCTGTATGCGAACGATGCGTCCGCTGCTCGCGTGCAGCGTGGGTGCATCCCGTCTCCCTTTAGCGCCCGCCGCAACGTGATGCCCCACAGCCAGTTGAGCGGCCAAGCACCCTTCCCTCTATCCATATCACTACTCGAGGCAAAGCAATATGGTCGGGCATTGGGCGCCGATCAGCAAAATGCCCGGCTTCTGGTGCCTGGCATGGAGGCCCGCCTGCCTCACGACACGGGAATGACTGCATAGCCCCTACCATCATTCGCCAGTCTTTCAGCTGGGAGCTGGCGATCCGGATTTCTTTCATCGCTAACAGCACTAGCACGGCCTCCATGTCTTCATCAAAGGAGGATGTCACCAGGGAAAGTCACTAAAACCGAGCTTGGGGGACGGTGACGGGGAGGACGGGGTGCGCTCGAGCACCGGCAGTTTATTGCTGCCCATCGAGTCTGAGACAGGTTGTGCGGCCGCGCGGATGCGCAAACCGGCTACCAGTTGCGACAATTTTTCCAATTCCCCAATTGCATCGGGTCAGTCTCCCTCTTCATCACCCTCAGGCACAGGGCACCGGTCAGAACCACGGCCCACTCGCGGCTGGGCGGTGTCTTCGGTCGCTCGCAGGCTGTGCAATTCACCGCTGCGCAGCCCTAAGGAATGGCCCCAAAGACGCCCGGATCATGTTCATGCATTCCGTCCTGCCTGCCGCTGCGGCCGCCTGGCACTGGCACTTTTTTTCTGCCCGCCCGTTTCGGTCATCTGTGGTAAATCTGCTCCTTGTCCACTCATTGTGCACTTTTCCAGGCTACAACCTGTGCCGCCTTGCACTTAAAAGGAACCCTCGCCCAGTAGGGCTGCACTTTACTTTCCTCGAAGCTGCATAGCTCCCTGCACATGATCCTCTCTATTATTACCCCTTCGCCGCTCTGACTCTTTCGCTTTTCGGCCCATGTGTCCTTGAATCTACGAGTACACTCATCCTACTTGCCGCTTGTCTTAGTCGGGCCGTCACCTGTTCCTCAAATACCCTCAGTCTCCCCAATATCGCCAAAACATCCAAACTACGCAAATCGACCCGTATCCTGATCAGTTTACACTTTGTGTGATCTGGATACACACGTCATCAAGACATCCTTACCGTCCGGTACTTCCATATCTGCCTATCCCCCGACGGGTTCATTACCCCGGATAAGCTGGTTTGACATCATACTTCACCGAGAGCATCCAGCCCAAGACTAAAGCTTGAGGCAAGGTGTTCTATTATCATCCTCGCCTCTAGGATATCTATCAACTCCGACTTAACCCATTACACATCGCCATCATGTGTCGGATCGAGGAGCGCGAGGAGTTCACCCCTGATGGGCGACCCCTGACATCTACGCGAGCCTGCCTTTGTGCGAAAGCACGTGGTGATAGACCATGCCGAGACGCAATCGTCGTGCCCATTCGATACATTCCTAGAAATGGCTCCATGGGCACACCGTCTCCGACGAATCCACCAACTCCCACCACTTCAACATACTTGGTTCAAACACGTCGTCCGTCTGGCAGTGGTAGCCGTCCCTCAACTCGGGATGGCCAACGACCGATCAGCAGCGAGATCTTCATACAGGTTGGCTCAAAGAAAGATAACAAAGGCAAGAAATACCCATTACTTTCGGTCTCTACCAAGCCCTACGATCGGTCTTCACTCGGCTCTGTTGGATCTCGTGATATCGCTGTTGATTCAGTAGGCTCTGATGCCTCCTACACCTACCGAACTGGTTTCCCGGAAGCCCCCTTGCCTCCACCAGCGTCCTTCGATCATCACAGCAGCTACCTTACAACTCCTACTGCACCATACGGTCAAAGCTCTCGCCATGTTCCGTCAGCATCTTCCAGTCAGACACCCTCGCTTTACGTCGCGTCGGACGCAGAGTACGACCCACCGGCTAGGCAGCGAAGTACAAAACGCTCTTCCACGGTGATTCACAACCCACCTACTGCTGTTCCGTCCTCGCCGCCTCAGCGTCAGGGTGGTATGTCATCTGATCCATACCGGACGGCCAGGGTTGCTCCACGAGAGACGTACACATCAGACCGCCCACATCCACTCGACTACGACGCCTTTGCTGATCACTCGAGCTCGTCTTACACTAGCTCGGGCCCACCTGAAGGCGCTCGTCGCACCAAGACTGGCGACGAGCGACAAAGGCAGTCCAAGTCAGGTCGGCATCAAGAAGAGTCTGACCGACGGGTGGCTGATGAGCGTGACAGAGAAGATACTGCCAGACGCGTACATTTCGAACCCGCCCGTGCAGACGGCCGCGCGAATGAGAGGGCAGAAAAGCTCTTCGCTGAGAAGGAGAAAGATCGAGCGTTGGCCAGGGAAGAACTTCGTCGTGTTAAGGAGGAAGAACGCCTCAGACAAGAGAGGAAGGACTTGGAAGCCAAGAAGGCCCAAGATCGTAAGAAGGAGAAATCAAGCCCTCCAACGATCGACTATACGAAGAAGCGGCCGAACGCATCACGCAGACAATCCTCCTCTATGACGTCAGCTGAGCTAGCAGATCAACGACGCTTGATCAAAGCCGAGGAACAACAGATGCGGAGCGAAAGGCAGATTGCAGAGGCCAGGGAGCGAGAGGAGGAGCTGGCAGCCCGTAAAAACCAACAAGAGAAGCCGGCTGCATACTGGGACCCGCGTGGCGGCGATCGTTCCCTCTCCACACGCCGCGAGTCGATGGCTCGCCACGACAGTCTTACCTCTAACACGCGTCCCGCTGGATTGACTCGCACTCCCAGCAAGCGCCGTCCAAGTGTCTCGCAGCCAAGCCCTCCAGTGCTCGATACTCAGGTGCCTACAGAGTCTTACAGGCCTTCCAGCTCGAGGAAACGCGCGCCTCCGCCGCTATCCTTCCCAGCGAACTTCAACCAAGATTACGCTCGGCCGCCATCTGCTAGGCGTCCATCCATCAGTCAAGACAACCCGTTCGCAGCAGCCACAATGATGTCGCCGCAGTCAGCATCGCAAGACCCATGGGATCTGCGCACCGTCGAGGGTTCACTTCCATCTGCCCGACCTCTAGGCGATGGTCGTCGTCCATCCATGCAATCTCGCTATGTCGATGCCTTTGCAACAGACTCTGAAAGCCCGGATGATCACCCGCCTGTATACGCATCGCGCACCGGTTTGAGTCGTAAAGGATCAAAGAGGAAGCACTGAGCTTCATGTCACTTTGTATTTCTCGGGTCATGCGTCTGCAACTGTTTATTGCTTTTGCTTCCTGCTGTTGGAGTTCAGTATGCGTCTGTTCTTGTTATGATACCCTTCTACCAGCACTGTTATATACGCCACCCGTCCTGTACCCTGATTAGACATATACCCTTGTTTCCCTGCGCATGTATCGTATTTATTGGAAATGACAAGTGTATGGCATATCACGAAAACATCTCTACGAAACACTCATCATTCTTAGCAAGTGCTGCCTGTAGCTACGTGTTCAGCAGACTCGACTGCCACCTACGTACTGTCCCTGCACTATCTAGGCTTCCCGCATTCTGGGCAAGTTTGGTTCGGCGTCCAGAGTTCCGCCTTCGGAGGTGGTGTCTCCTGGTAAGGATCAACCGGTATGTCTAACTCGGCGTCAACCCCAAGCCTGAAGGTCTTGTAGGGTGGAGCATTAGGGTTTTGTCCCTTCCATTCATTAACCTGGTCGGTTATCTCGTTTCTGAGGCGCTCAAGCAGGTACAGGTAGCGGCGATGCTCCTGGAAAGAGGCGGGAACGCTGGTGTCGAACGCTTTGATGGCTTGAGAAAGCTTGTTGATGACGGCGGCCTTCTCCGGTGGGTAGCTGAGGTTTTTGGATGCCATGTTATGGCGCTGAGTGACGAGCAGAATGATCTTGATGGTGCTCTGATGCTTCTCATTCTGCACTGATATACTGGACTTGTTTGCTGCGAGCAAGTTCCTTCACGATGTGGCACGTAAAACAATCAGCATACTGATGTCCATCATGATGCCAAGCTTGCGCGATTGATCACCGCAATTCATATGTCAGTCTTCAAGCTCATATCCCTGTCTCCTTCTTTGAATAGGTGAGCCAGTCATCGCTTTGGGCATAAAGCATGGCTTCAGTAGAGTGGAACGCATGTAAGTGACTGAATTGTTGAATACAGGGCTCTTCATTAACCTTTCATTTGATAATCGTATGGCACTCGTAACCCATACTCAAGCCATTAACTACACCCCACCCAGGGAATATCGCGTCACCAATTGCTTTCATTCTCTCTGTAGTTGCGCAACATCACTGGACGGCCTCATATCGTCCTTCTTCTTCCTCTCGATCTACTTCTGCTGCTACTACGAGATAGATAATTCCCATCTTCTTCTGTCCCTGTGTCCTGACTGGCTACCTGGTAGGGATGATCTTCTGATTCTGGTATACCAAGCTCGGCATCAACGTCGCACCAGACTTGGGAATCAGAAATTGGGCTTTCTACGTCTTCAATCAACCACCATCCGATAGGTATGTCTATCTCGCTTTTCAGACGCAAACAGAGATACAGAAGCCTGCGCTGCTGGAATAGCGTCATTGCCGTGCTTGGTTGGATAGCGGCGATGGCAGTGTGTATCTTTTGGATCGTGGGAATATCTGCGCTCATGAGCGTACGTCTCTCTTCTTCCGTCATGACTGAATTAGTTGTGTTAAAGAAGTTGCTGTCGTAAGAAATATTACATGCTTATAAGTTCTGAACGTGGACGAGCGTTGCGAATGGTTTGTGCAAACACTAGTGTTTCCATGGCGCAGATGAGACACCCGACTTGGTCACTTGCATTGTGGGCACAGCATTGCCACGTCGAAAACATTGCGCTTCACACGAAAGTGAGCTGTGGCTTTGAGATAAACCCATTTCATTGGTATCCTATGAGATCTAGTCTAGTACGGATATCCAAATCGATGACCGCCCTGCACTCGTCTCACCAGCGCGTTCCCAATCATCTAGCTATGTATCAGGCGGCCTGGCCGTGCTAATCCGCACGAGCGACGAACACGAGTCAAATCTTATTCATCCTTGCTCTCAACAACCTGAGACAGTGAGCCCTTGAGAGGAACGTAGTTGAAGGCCTCCTCAAATCGCTGGCGACGTGGCGGAAGCGAGAAGCTGATCTGAGAGTGCGGCGCGGAGAAAGGAGCGCGAGTAACGGGGGTAGACTGTCCGAACTCTTGAAGCTTCTTCTCGAGGTACTCGATGCGGTCGTCTTGTTCTTGAGTGTGGTGCATCTGCTGCTGGTACATGCTAGACATGTAGTCGTGCTCGTTGCATAGGCGGTCGAATTTCATAGCGGCGTAGTTGATGTCGTTTCGAAGGCGAAGGGTCTCGCGACTGCCCTCGTGCTTTACGCTCGCGACGTGACGGCGATGAGCTTCACTGAGATCGCGAAGCTGCTTCTCGTGTACGCCGCCAACATCGTTCGTGAGGAATTGGGTGAGCGCCTTGCTGGTGGACAAACGCGCAAGAAGTGCGATCGCGACAGTGACAAAGACTCCGATCAAGAGAATGATCTCGCGATCGCCGATGAGATCAGTCTGGAGCTGTTAGTATGAGACGCTGGGGTAGTGCTTCAAATTTACGTACTGTAGTCCAGACTGCGGAGAGCAGACCGAAGATGCTTGAGCAAAGGAAGAAGGCTAGGAATTCGAAGTTGTTGAGCTCCATTATGATGGTGTCTTTAGTGGGTGAGTTGTTGAGCGGAAAGACGTCGGAGTTGCATCGCAGTCAGTTTGATACACACTTGGCTTGGCAGTCTAGCTGATTCCACAAGTGGAGTCAGCTGGGATGAAGCAGCACTTCATGCTGGCAAGACGTTGCGATGATGTCTTATAGCTTCAACTTGGTGTCGGATCAAAACAACAATACGATGACACATTAACATCCCTTGCAAACTCCACAGTCTAGCTTGTTGAAAAACGCGAACATCTACTGGAAGACGCTTCGGCTGTATGGCCTGAATTCTGCATTCAGGTATGTATGTATTAGATGACTATATACTGGCAGTATGACTATTTACAAGAAAGTGACTATGAGTACACTGAAGCATGCAGAATATGGCAACCACGTAGGTAAATCGGACATGATGCATGGAACGCCGTTTTTGAACCCCATATGCAGACCCGGAGGTACCTAAAGAACGCCTTAGCCATGCAGTAATGATTCTGGAAAATGAGCCTGCCAAGCCCGTCGACGACACGCTAAACAGTTCAGGAAAGATCCATGGGTTCGGCGGCGCTGCTACCGGCACCAGCTGATTCGCGACCACGCTGGTCCTTGATCGCTGGGGCAGCAGGCTGCGCGAAACTGTTTGGTGCAGGCGGAGCGGGAACGTTGATGCCGGTATTTACGTGGTCGGTGCGAACCTGTGGAGGCGCGACATAACCCATATGAGGCTGGGCGTAGATTGGAGGAGTCGCTGGACCAGAAGAGTTGCGCGGTGGCTTTCGACCACCGATGCGCTGAGCTCGGGGAGCTGGAAAGCAAGCATTCTTGACACGAGTCTGGAACTCTTGAGCGAAGTTGTCGTAGGGCTTCTTGTCCTCGGATGTCTTCCAGCCCATCTTGTTCTTCATGCACTCAGCCTTACGGTGACTAATCGTGGAACCTTCGATGCGAATGCCATTGGCCTCAAAGCGGCGACAGCAGTCGGAACGCGACAGGATAAGCAGAACAACGAGAAGGCTGACGTTGTCGTTGTCCAGAAGATGAGGACAGAAATCGCAGACATTACATGCGAAGCGACGCATGTCTTCTAGTTCCTTGGTGTCGGTGCAGTTGACGAAGCGTTCAGCCATTGAGAACGGTCTAACCATGTCTCTACAGATATGGTTCTGAAGGACATTGGCGACTGAAGATACGGAAACTGGATAGATGCTACTACGGTCGATCTTGCTTGTAGCAGATGACGAGACCGTGCCGGCGATGTAGACAATCTCGATATCGTCGAACGGGCCCCGATCGAGTTTAATGTCTTTGAGTGTCTTGCCTTCCTTTTGAGCCTCTTTGTAAGTCTCGGCGTTCTTGATACCAGCCTCGCGAGCCGCCTTGACAGCCTCACGAGGTGTGGTGAAGCCATACTCCTTGGCGAGAGCTACGGAATCTTCGTGCATCTCAAACTTGGAAAGCTTACGCTCAACATCAGGAGCGCGTATCCAATCCTCAGACCAGGGTTCTTCTGCGAGGACTTTGTAGAAGACCTTGGTAAGGGCGCGAAGCTTGATCTCAAGATCAGTCATCATACGCCGGCCGAAATACAGTTCATCGGTCTCAAAGAAGGCATTCTCAATAAAGGTCTTTCGATCCTTTTGAGTTAGCTGGCCGCGAGATGGATCATTCTTCCATTCTTGGATGATGTGCATGAACTTGGCGTGGAAGATGTCATCGAAATGTTTTGATGCAGGTATAGCATTCGCTGTACGGCACGTTAGTTCATGGTCAAGAGATGTTTCCACAGTTCCCACGTACAAGTCGGTGTGTGGGGTTGTTGTGGCGGCGAAGGTGAGGTAACAGCGGTCTGGCTGATTGCGGCAGGTGACATAGTGATCCAAGCGCGATATATGACCTGATATACCGAAAGAAGTAAATTGTCTACTTGTGGATCAGTATAGATGAGAAAGGAAACAGATCTCGATGGAATTCGATGGGGTTGGAAGGTGAGGTTCGTGGCCGGGTCAAAAGGTTGCGGGGTGGTTGGGTTGTCGGAGCGTGAGGGCGGTAGGCAAAAACATTCACGCTCGCGTCGCTAGCGTGCCAAGTAAATTCGGGGTGAGCATTGGAAAGACACGTGACCCACATGACTCGGCCCCAACAAGCTTGGAACCTCGGGTGAACGTCATAGTTAGCGCTTCCGCTCACAACCTTCCATCAGGACATCCATTGAGTGCTTCGTCTTGTCAGTTCCTCTCCTGTTAGCAATGGCTGCGACGCGTTATACGTTCCTACACCGCATCGCTACGCGTTGGTGTGCGCCCGGGGTGCGCTTGAGTGATGAACCCCTTCCTGTCGCGTTCCTGCATTATCATCCTCACCTCATCTGCGCTCAGTACACTCGCCTCGATCCAGATTTACATGTCATCATTGCGAAAACATTGATTTGAATATGTGTGAGTTACAGTACGCTGGTCCTCTTCGCCATCTATGGAAGTTGTCGCTTCCAGCTTTGGTTGCCTTACGTGCCACATTCCTGGGAACAGCAGCAGCATATGCGTTCTAGAAAACACATCGTCTCTGGAGCGATCTCGGTTGTTCTGATGGCCTGAAAGAATCATGGTTCCGTTGGATCGCAATGGTATCCTTTCCGGAAGGACACTCAGGGTATACGCGAGAACCTAGATGACAAAATTGGAGCTGAATGCACTGGGCCTCCTTTTATCAAGCGTGCCGTTATATTGTTCAAGAGTTTGTATCCATGGCGACGCTGAGACCTGGTTTGCGCCGAATTAATGGCATTCAAAAGTCTTTCAAGGCACGGGAGACGCTACTTTGATGGGCGTTTGACAGTGAAGGAGACAGTAGCAACGAAGAGATATTTCCACAACTAGCTTTTGTCACCACGCGAAAAGTCCCTGCCTCGCAAGCAACTTCGTTCCACTTTCTACGTTAACGGCACACCACCATCGACCCAATACAACATGAAGCTGATCAAACGTCGAGACAGGCGTCCCCAAGCCACAGCTGCGACGCCATGCCACTTGCTTGCACTACCAGCGGAGATACGCTTGCTCATATACAGCCACATAGCCCCCGATGGCTTCCTACCAAACGCGCCCTACCAGACATACATCGGGCTCATGCTCTCCTGCCCCCAAATCTACAACGAGATGACCTCCGAAGCCGTCCGCCTGGCCCCTTCCATCCTACGCACGATCCAGTTCTCCGTCAACGCAACGCCAATGAAGCTACAACCGCTCCGGCCGACGACCTTCGCCTCGCTGATGCACCTCACGATCGGAATACCACGCTGGGCAATGCTCGATCGGCCTACGATAATGGGCATTCTGCAAGCCATGGCACCAGTACTAGAGCTTCACCTGGCCAGATTGACCATCGGATTGGAAGACCTAGAGGGTGAAGACGATGTCTTGCAGATGGTTGAGACACTGAATCCGGCACAAATCGCGCGTTACGTGAGCCAAGTACAGGACATGCCCGCACCCCTCTATCCTCCAAGCGATTCTGTGGCATCCGACCATTATCGCATCCGAACAACATACAGCAATATCATTGGACTCGTCACAGCAATGAATTGCCTCATAGCTCCAGGAATGTGTAATGGAAAGCATGCCCAGGCAAACCACTGGTGCCTTCGCGCTTCAGTCCTTAACCCACCATTTCCGACGACGACGTGTAACGTTCGGAAGATTGCTTTCCGCTTGAAAAGGCTCCATGATGAGAAGGTATGTGGGTGTGGTCGACTTCCCGCTCACTACCCTCATCTGGTGTATCCGTTTCGCGGGTCGAGCTATAGGTGGGAGCTGATGCTCGAAAACCCCTCGTTGGAAAAGGAGCGATGGATGGTTCACTGGAGGGATGATAAGGGTAAGTTGAGCTGGTCTCTGAAGGGAAAACCAGGGCTATATGTATGGCTGAAGTTGAAAGAGAAGCGAGAGAGCCGGTTGAAGAGGGCTGTGAAAAGCTTGTTCAGGCAGACCTAGTTGAAGGCGGGGCTATGTACGTACTCTCCAGGTTCGCAAGTGCTAAGTCTTGCAGGTAGCTCCAATATCATCATGATCATGACATGAATGCATAAATGCCATGGACTTAGGAGTCTTGATGTTACAGTGCGCGTCATGCCAAAACCACAGCTCTCACCAGATGCATTCGAAAGGTCTACGTGTAACATGCACCTACCCGACGGCTACCACATTGAGCATCCACAAACAGAATGAACATGCGTTTGTGTGACCCACTCCCAGATTGTTCCTCATTCCGCTGATAAAACCCCGTTCATAGTCCCCAACATACAGAAGACTTACCACACCCCTACCTCCGACTCTCCAAGACCACCCAACTATCTCTACAAACCAGCAGACCGAAGACTACCATGACTCTCTTCAGTACACAGATAGCTGGCATCGCTATAGGGGTCTTCTTCGCACTATCCCTCATCATGTTCGCCCTTTATTACTCGATTGATCGTCTTCGCAAGCAAAATGGCACAGCCAAAGCAACAACGCCGTCATCTCCTACTGGCTCTGGTTCCCCGATACCTCCTCCACAACATCTTATGGACAATCAGAGGCGCACCTCCAATCAATATTCACATCCTCAGCAAGAGCATTCACGTCCAAGCCTAGAGTACGGACCCGGTCCAACTTGGGTCGCGACACCCGAGCCCGAAACGTATCGTTTCAACACGCTTAGAGCAGTACCAGCTACGCCAAAGACGTCCTCCGCGAGTGCCATGCGTCCTGTTACTTCGGAGTCGGACAAGCGGAGTAGTCTGCACCAGGCGGTCTTGGGTGCGGGTACAAGTCGCGGTCGGAAGAACAACAGTGATGCCACAAAGGAAGCCGTGGAGACTGCTAGAGCAAAGGATTTGGATGACGACCACGTTGCTGGCAGTAGCATTGGCAGACAGAAAACGTACACTGGAGCTTGGCCTTGAACGGTGTGGTGATGTCGGCAACGTTCTAGGGATGTGTTCAATGATGGTTTCATCGAGCAAATTGGGCTCCACATGGTATAGACTAGATTCATCGAGCCTTGATAAACACAACATACTACACATGAGGACGTGCATTGAGCGATGGGTTGAGATAGTGCGTGGATTTGTTTCATCTGAGCGGGAAGCTATTGACATCACGAGACGTATGAAGGACCGTTCCCTTTTGGTAATGCTGTTTAGACCGGTAATGAAATTCACTTACCTGAACCTGAACTATATATTCTTCGTTGGTCATCACAACACCATCGCATCACACAGGGCGCATGGGCAGGGGAAATGGCAATCAAGCATCATCCTCGTGTCTTGCAACACTCGGACTCAGCGACACCTAGTGGGGGAGAACCTTTTGTTTCATTGACTCCTGATCATCATGCCGCCGTATATAGCCGTAAAACCATGCCATAGTCGTGGCAGAAGAGACCCTTTCCCAGACACCATATTTTCAGTAAGCCGAGAAAGGAGGAAGAAGGGAGACCATCGTGTCGCGCGTGCGCATTCGTATTTACGAGCGGGCGGGGCGGTCGTTGAAGCGGCGGGGACCGCGCTCGACAATCTGTTGTTGGGAGACGGCGATGACGTTGGTGGGGATGCTGTCGAACTATCGGAAGTGTTAGTGAGATGCTTTGGGTGGTATGGTTATAGAGTAACGTACGCCCATGCTCTTGAGCAGGTCCTTGGTCTCCTGGTCGACGTCGAGCGAGCCAGACTCGCTGTTCTGGGTGAAGTCGAGAGCGGAGATCTCGGGGACGTACTGGTCCTTTCGCTCACGCTCCTCTTCTTGGAGCTTGAAGGAAATACCACGGACGGGACCACGCTGGATACGCTTCATCCTGCGAGTTGTTAGCTTGATGTTTGGTGCGAGAGAGCACGCTGCTCATAGCGTGGCTGCGGTGCGGGCGGATGAAGAGCTATCTTCTGAAGTGCCCAAGAGCCTGCGCATAGGCATTGCACAACGCTGCTCTGCGCAGGCCACTCAAGCTTCCAGAACCAGCCCCTCATTGCCATTGTCGCAGCCCCAGTGTCGGCACGTACAAGTGAGTGGTGTATCCGGCAATCTTGTTTCGGAGCCTCTTGGAGGCAATGATGGCAATCTCATCACAGATCCTCTTGTTGGTCTCGAAGTCGAGCGACAACTTGGGGTAGTAACGCTCAATGATGACCTTGGCGGACTTCTTGACGGTCTTAGTTCGGACGCGACCCATTTTGGCGACTTGTTGTGTGAGCTGGGAGAAGAGGTTGTCGTGGGAAGGGGCGGTGGCTGTCGGGTTAGTTGGATTGTCGCTGGAGAGTAGAAATGTCGGGAGGGCAGGCGCGATTATTCGCCTAATCTGTGTGGAGGACCGTGCGCAGGACTCTAGTCACAAAGGGTTTGGCGCCAACGCAGCACATGGGAGCCATCACCAACATTGCTCAGCAGATAAACAGTGTCAATCTCGTGTATCATATTGGTATCTCTCGCTCGCTATTTAAAACTGTTGGAAAAAAGACTGTTCAAAGAAATGCATCACAGATGCTTGCTACATATAGGAAAACCCGACCATCCTCCTCGCAGCCCATTTGCAACGAAACTCCACAACACCACCGCTGTGTGAATATCAATTTAAGTAAGCCCTGTGGCTTTACAGATACAGCCATCTGAGCGGTTCTTTCAGTGGCCACCCTCAGCGCCACCCTCAGCGCTGCCTCCGGAAGCACCGTGATGTGCAGGGTTGGGGAAGTAGAACGCACATACTGCGATGATGACGTACGTCATCACGCAGAGCACACCCTCCAGGTAGTTCGAGCTTCTGTCGCGGAGGAACGAGCCAACCGCCAGGACCGCCAGAACCAGGGCAACAGCGTCGAAGATGGCGAAGTTGTAGTCCATGCCGACACCAATACCCCAGCCAACCAGTACCACAAGGGGTGCGTTGAACAGGGCGGTCTGGATAGAGGCACCGAGAACATGGGCAAGGGCCATGTTGATCTGATTGTCATAGGCTTCGTCAATGGCGAGGAGGTGCTCGGCGATCTTCTCAACCAGCGGGATAAGGATAAGTCCGACGAAGGAGTCACTAACTCCTCGCTCTACTATATGCGGGATTTCGAGGACGAGGAAGATAGCGACGAGTGCAACGCAGGCCAGTGAGACGAGAAGAGCAACGATGACTTCGGTCAGGGTAAGCTTGGGCTTAGCCAATTCCTCGTGGCGGTCCTTGTCCTTGTGATCGTCTGCCTCGTAGATCTCATGGAGCAACCCATCGTGGGATACGGTCTGGTAATACAAGTAGACTAGGTAGCCAACGATGGAGATGATGGCGACACCGCGGGATATCAGTCGAGTGTTATAGGCGATATCAACAGTCTGTTCGTAATCGGGGTTTTGGAAGAGGTATGCGTAGAAGACAGCGGGAAGTACGAGCGCGGCTATAAAGATTAGCATTGGTACTTTGACGAGCCAAGAGGAGGATCGACATACTGGCAGCTACGAGCATCAAGCCACTACCGTTCTCAGAGACAGCACTATGGAACTCTTGGACGTCATGCTTGACACCACCGGCAATGAAACTGGAGCAAATTAGTGAGTGCTTGATCGAGCATCGAACAGACACTTACCAGGTACCAAGGCAGAGGAGCAGGTTGGCCAAGATAGACCCCAATATAGCAGCCTTGATAACCTGCACGTTTGAGTCGCCGTTGGAGGTTTTGAGCAAGACCATGAACAGAATAACTTCGACAACGGAACCGAATGTTGTCTCGAGAACGACAGCAAAGGCCTTGTTTGGCATCTTGCGCGAGAACTCCTGGCCAGCGAAACCGAGTAAGTTGGCTGCAGGAAGCATGGCAATGTAGTTGGTAATGAAGATCGCTAGATGCCATTCGGGCCTCGCAAAGTGCTGTTATAGTCGGTTAGTACAAGAAACATATCCTCTTGTGTGCCGCTTACCAGTGCAATTGCTACAGGTACAATGGGCCATAGGCAGTTCACTAGCATAGACATCGTGCTGCTACTCCTGCCGCTGATGACAAGGAACTTGATCGGGTTGAAACCCCTGCGGCCACTCTCGCCCTCGGGGTGAAGGCCGGGGGTCACCTTGTGTCCATTGTGGTTGTACTGTGGCAGAGACGAGCCGCGCCTGTCACGGCGATCGGAGGGAGGGACGGAGCGTGGCTTCTCGCTGGTATATCCTCGGTCGCGCGACGAGCGGTGCCTTGAGCCGTCGGGGTAGTCTCGCGAGCTTCTCGAGCGGTGCGCCATGGCTTTGGTATACGAAGATTGCCCAAGGGGTGGTTTTTAGGGTGCGCCAAGTGCAAGAGTTGAATGCACTGGCTTGGGTTTCAGGGCGGGCGAACGAGTTGCCCTGCAGCGGTTGCAGTTTGTAATGCCGTAATTGGAGAGGAGTTGATAGAGAGTAAGTGAAAAAGAAAGACAAGAGGGCCGGTGGGACTAGACATTGTAAAAGGGCCGGGCGTCATTTCGGGACGAGTAGTATACTACCTGCTTCCTTGTTTACGAGGTGCAGTTCGCAACGGGGCGGGCGCGTCCACAACACACAGCCTCGACGCTATGATCGCCAAACAACGAAAATGTCGCAGCGCGTTTACACCGTAACTCTGCAGCAGCGCGCGCCGTTCGCAGGCAATTGGTCTCCATTGGTTCTTTTTGGCACCGATTCATGGTAATTCAGTGTCTAGCTAAGCTTATCTTCAGTAGAACACGTCACCAAGCACCGCGCAACGTCCCTGGCAATGCTTGACACGCCTTGGCTGCACTACGATGCGGAGTCCAGAACAAGGTTTCAGCTCCATGCACATTGACGTGGGCCGAGACTCCACATCTCAGGTTTAGCAGCAATAAGGGGAAGGGTCTCGATCTCCGCAATGCACATGCGAGCTATTTGATGGCCACCGACACACTTCGAGCTACCAGAGGTCATTCGCATCGATGGCGCTACATGGAATACAAGCGCTGGTTCCAACGCGTTGGCTACTGACAACCGCATGAACCGTCATCGATCGCAATGTTGAGAAGGGCCGACAAGTTGCTGATGACGATTTAGAGAGGACCGAACGTCTACTGCTGTTGAAACTATGTACTTACACACATCAGTCTGCAGACATTCCATGATGCGATGGGGGAGTTGTTGTTCATCTAGACTTGATTGGTTCCTGGCGGTCCGCATCTATTGTACCTTGCATATGATGAGAGACTAGCAACAGCATGGTAACGCCGGCTGGATGCGCAACTATGCCCTCACGACTTGATCTTCCCTCTGCACATCGCAAAGCTTGACAAGGCTTCAATACATACAAAAAGCCATCATGTATTTGACATATGCTCAAGCAAAAGCAGTCACCTGGTACTGTGCACGGGACAGGCCTTATCGCGAGGCGCGTGTTAGCGGCATGGCAACAGCGACTCATCCATAAACACACAAACAACCCTCTTCCATCCCATCTCGTCTCCAAACCCATCCATCTCCGTAACTCACAACATGGTCTTCTCCTCTGGTTTTGCGCTGTGCGCAGCCATCACAAGCGCGACGGCGCTCCAGATCCCGCTTATGTCGTCCGGCAATCAAGCGCCACTCGGACATCCACATGGGACCAAACCGTTGGTCAACTCGACCGAGCTCCAAGACCTCATCAGTGGGGACAGATTGATGGCACGCGCCAAGAAGATGTACGAGATTGCGAAGCTCGGTGAAGAGGAATACAACCATCCCACCAGAGTCATCGGGAGTGCTGGTACGTTTGCGCACGTGATTTGTTGTACGCTGATGCTGATGAAGTCGCAGGCCACCTCGGAACGCTGTCTTACATCTATGAAACTATCCTTCAACTTGGCGACTACTACACAATCACCAATCAAACCTTCCCAGCTGTGTCCGGCAATGTCTTTGAGTCGCGTCTTGTCATTGGCGATGTCGTGCCGAAGTCTGCCCATCCCATGGGCTTAACGCCTCCCACAAAGGACAAAGAGCCTGTACACGGCGACCTCGTTTTTGTTGAGAATGACGGTTGTCAGGCGTCGGATTACCCAGACTCAGTAGCCGGAAACATCGCATTCATCAAACGTGGAGTCTGCCCCTTTGGTACTAAATCCGAGCATGCAGGTCGCAAAGGCGCTTCTGCTGCCATTGTCTACAACTATGAGAAAGACAGCGTTTCGGGCACCCTCGGAACGCCGTCTCCCGATCATGTAGCTACATTCGGGTTGTCCGGTGAAGAAGCTGAACCAATTTTGAAGAAGCTCGAAAAGGGAAAGCGCGTGGATGCGATCGCCTACATTGACGCTGAAGTGAACACCATTCTGACGGTCAACATCATTGCGCAGACAACGGCTGGCGATCCGGACAACTGCGTCATGCTCGGCGGCCATTCCGACAGTGTCACCGAAGGGCCTGGTATCAACGATGATGGAACAGGCACAATGTCGCTGCTCGAAATTGCTACTCAACTTACCAAGTTCAACGTTACCAACTGTGTGAGGTTTGCATGGTGGGCGGGTGAGGAGGAAGGCCTACTCGGATCCAACTACTATGTCGCCTCTCTGCCCGAGAAGGAGAACCAGAAGATCCGCCTCTTCATGGATTACGATATGATGGCTAGGTAAGCGAAATCACCGTACGCGTGGCGCATGTAATGTGACTAACTTGTACCAGCCCCAACTTCGCCTACCAAATCTACAATGCTACAAACGCGGTGAACCCGAACGGCTCCGAAGAGTTGCGGGATCTGTACATCAAGTGGTACGAGGATCAAGGTCTGAACTACACTTTCATTCCCTTTGATGGCCGCAGCGATTACGACGGCTTCATTCGCAACGGAATCCCCGGTGGTGGCATTGCTACAGGAGCCGAGGGTATCAAGACGGAGAAGGAAGTAGAGATGTTTGGGGGCAAGGCTGGGGACTGGTATGATCCTTGCTACCATCAGCTTTGCGACGATATTTCAAACCTCAACGTTACTGCGTGGGTTGTCAACACCAAGCTCATCTCGCACTCTGTCGCAACGTACGCACGATCTCTCAAAGGTTTCCCGAAGCGAGAGCTTGAGGCTTCGCTCAAGTCTACTGTGTACAGGGAGAAGACGAAGTATCAAGGCTCGAAGTTGTTCATCTAGAGTTGGTTATTTGTAGTCTGGCCTTCCCTTGTTCCAATGTAAAGCTGGGTAGTCTAGCCTGCCTTAACAGATTTATGGAGGAATGAACGTACAGTCACTGCTGATGTCAACCGCGTGAGTTCTCTGAAAAAGTCCAAGCGTGATTTCTCGCCGATTGAACACTACCAACTGCTTCACTATGTTCCGGTGCGCTCGGCTGGTCCCGAGACTGGATCTGGGATTGCATGACGATTAACACGGGGAAGTCGCGCTAAGCGAACGGGCCGCAACACTACGGGCTGCAGCTGAAGCGACTCATCGGCTGCAGGTCGCGTCTCCAATTGCATCATGGCGCCCGTCTCAATGCCTTCGGCCCTCACCTTTGAGCTGCTGGGAAAGTGCTCGGTATGTATCGTGTCAGTTTCGTGTCTTGGTCATCCCCTGACAAGCCCAGGTCACCAAAGCACGCGCGGCAACGCTGCATCTGCCTCATGGCCCTGTACCCCTCCCCATCTTCATGCCCGTTGCGACGCAGGCCTCGCTCAAAGGCCTCACGCCCGACCAACTCGAAGACCAGGGCTGCCGACTATGTCTAAACAACACATATCACCTGTACGGCCGACGTTCTGCCTCCATGCCAGCCACTGCTGACATGTGGGAGAGGCCTTAAGCCAGGACAAGCGACACTCGATGCCATAGGCGGCGCGCATAAGCTCCAGTCCTGGCCACACAATATCCTCACAGGTGCACCATGCCACAGCGTATAGGGATGGAAAGACGGAAGTGCTGACTCCTGCAGATAGTGGTGGGTGGGTCATGCCTCCAACGTGATGAACGAACGCACCATAACTGACGCCAACACCAGTTTCCAGATGGTATCGCTCCTCAAACTCGCCAAAGTCACCGAAGAAGGTGTCCGTTTCCTCAGCCCCCACGATGGGTCGCCCATGCTGCTCACACCCGAGCACTCCATCTCCCTCCAGAACTCAATCGGCTCCGACATAATCATGCAACTCGACGACGTTATCGCAACCACCTCGCCCGACCACGCGCGTATGAAGGAAGCCATGGAACGCTCGGTACGCTGGCTTGACCGCTGCATGCAAGCGCATAAGTACCCAGACCGACAGAACCTTTTCTGTATCATACAAGGTGGCCTGGACCTGGACATGCGGAAAGAATGTACCGCCGAGATGGTTGCGCGAGATACACCAGGCATCGCGATAGGAGGTCTCTCTGGCGGTGAGGAGAAGGCAGCCTATTGCGAAGTCGTGAAGACATGTACCGACCTGCTTCCTGAGAAGAAGCCGCGATATGTCATGGGCGTCGTAAGTTTTGGATGCCCTCAGCATTATTACAGCTTACTAACCAACTTAGGGATATCCGGAAGATCTGGTCGTCTCCGTCGCACTCGGCGCCGACATGTTCGACTGTGTCTGGCCAACACGAACCGCCGTAAGGTCTTCTCCCTATTCATCACAGACCCATGCTAACAATATTTAGCGATTCGGCAACGCCATCACATCCCGCGGCTCCCTCAACCTACGCAATGCCATGTACTCCGAAGACTTTAGCGCAATCGAAGAAGGTTGCCGATGCACCTGCTGCCGTCCGACATCCGATGGCGGACTGGGTATCACTCGAGCCTACATATACCACGTCACCGCGAAAGAGACTGCTGGTGCCCACCTTCTCACCATGCACAACGTCTACTACCAATTAAATTTGATGAGGGAAGCGAGGGAGGCCATCGTGCAGGATCGCTACCCACAATTTGTCAAGGACTTCTTTGGTGATCTGTACAACAGGGAAAAGGATAAGTATCCTGTATGGGCGGTCGACGCGCTGAAAAGCGTTGGTGTAGACCTGCTTGCCGAGTAGACGAGTCGAGAACGTCAGTGCTGGCCTCGATCTAAATAACTCATTCTGCCATGAATATTCGCTTGATGGACGTTCGCCAGGCTAACAGTTGATGAATGCATTAAAAGCTCTTCACAGAATTATATCGCGCGAGATCAATCCATCCTGAAATTCCAACACATCATCCGTCCACACTCCTCACAACCCATACTCCGGCGGGCTCCAAATCTTTGATGACCCAAATGCTGGGATGATCTTTCCAATCACACCACTGAACTTCTGGATGAACGGATGTGACAAAGTCCCGGTCACGGTGTTGAAGACCTTGATTCCCCATTCCGTCTGTGGGTTTGCGATTTGCGGGGCTCCGGGGATGAGTTTCTGCGCCTTGTCGACATATTCGCGTGTAATGCGTTCATAGTTGGTGAGCGCGGTGGGGATGTCATCTTGAGAGCGCGAGATCTCGCCTGCGAGAACGTATGCGCCTACGATTGCTGCACCAGTACCCTAGTATTGACATCAGTCTGAAGGCTCGATGATGAGAACGAAGGTTGAGGAGAACTTACGACACCAGAAATCGGACTGGGGCAGTACGCCGCATCACCCACCAGGGCCACACACCCTTTGTGCCAAGTATCCATCCTGACCTGTGCAATCTGCTGCATATAGAAGTCATCCGCCCTCTTCATCTCGCGTATACAACGCTCAGTCTGCCATCCGGCACCCTCGAACTCCTTCTCGAACCACGCTTGCTGTTCCTCCCTAGTGCCTTTCTTCAACAGCTTGTCAATCTCTTCGAAGCGGCTAAGATCACCATCGGTGATGGCGAGGTACGCTCGCGTGGTTCCGTACTGGTCAGGTCGTAGAAGGAACAGTCGGCCGCGCGAGGCGTTGTACCACTGTGCATACTGGGTATCGACGGGTTCGCGAGGCATGGTGAAGAGAGCAGAGTACTGACCGAGCCGGTGCAAATAGTCGTCGTTCTTGGGTCCGTGGCCGAACACGATGCGCCGGGTTCGCGACATTTGGCCATCGGCGCCGATGACGACGTCAAATTCAGTAGGTGGGAGCTTGCCGTTTGCGAAAGTGACAAGTGCTTTGCTGCCTTTGGATTCGTCTTGTTGGACCTCTGTGGCCATTTCGCCGAAGACGTATTTAATGTTTGGGTTGGATAGTGTAAGCTCGTAGACAATGCGTGCCATATCTCCTCTTAGGATTTCGTACTCGCTTGTTGCTACGGTCTGGTCAGTCTAGGTGCTCGTGTTGCTTTGACAATGCCGTCTTTTTCCTCTCATCGAGTACTGTGCACGGAAGCTAGGTGTCTTACCACTTTGTCTCTCCTCCTCTCCAGTAGCCTCAAACGTTGCGCGCCTTTCCCCATCTCGGTATACGAACTGCATACCAACTTCTGTAGTAGTCTTCTCTTTCACCTTTTCCAGGATTCCCATCTTCTTCACGATAGGCAGAGCTGAGGAGCGAAGATCGACGGCTTGTCCACCTAATCTTGGTTCGGGTGATCTCTCTACGATGGTGATCTGGCAGGTAGGCATGAAGCGGTGCAACCAGTACGCTGTTACAGGACCGGCGATGCCAGAGCCTGATATCAGGATATTGAGAGGTTGCGTCGCGGACGGCATTTTGAAGGCAGTCTCAGCGTTCGACGAAGGCGTGGGTTTGGGGTGTATGAACTGAGGTACTGAGATTCTGCCTAGACGAACTTGTGGAAGGTGCTGCGGGTAAATGTATTCAAGACGAGGAGAGCTGCAATGTGATTATATGCGCAACGGAGGTCCGTCCAACTACTCTATATACATCACATTCCTTTTCTCTTTCGGTCCTTTGCATGCATCCCGACTCTTCAACACTGCATTCACCCAGGGTGCAGCCTACTAGAACACAGACACAATCATGAGTCGGAACTCCGTCCTTACTACTTGCAGATCGGGTTCCTGCGCGCTACGGCGAAATTCTGCCGTGGCTAATGACATCACCAGGGTTCTAAGACAATCGGTGGCTTTGGCGCCGCTAGTACCATCTCTCGGTCGTTCTACGATTCGATGGAGCTGAGGTTATAATTGTTTGAATTCGAGGCGTGCAGTTGCGCATAAAGGAAAGCTTGGAAAGTTATCGGTTGTCAGGTGCCTTCCGGCGCCGTAAGGAATGCGCAACGTCTCGTACTTCTTACTCAACGCAGAATCGGAGGTTGCGAAAGTGCCGATGGTATCTTGGCGATAAGGCCTCCACACAATCATGGCAGGAAGCCTTCTTATGAAAAGCACCGTGCATCTGACATTTTACCCTACGATCGATTACTGTCCACGCCGCTGGCGAAGATATGCTCGCCTTACGAGGTCTCAGAGTTGGGTGACAGTGACAGGCTCCTTTGAACAGGTGTCAGCGCAATCAGGATAGCACGCTAGCTTGCTGACTAATACACGCGGTGTTTACGCGTTGGGTATGCTTGAAGCGTGTCAGATCAATGCAACCTACCTTGGTCACACTGATGTTTCCTATGGGCAAGCTGTTGATGGACTCTCGCGAAAAGCGCGACTAATTCGCTTGACTCGGTGATCTCTACCTAGGTTGAGAGATAATGGCGTCGGCGGAAGCCGAAACACGACATGTTCGCTCCCCTTTCGATCTGTTCGCTCTAGTAAGCCGACTCGATACAACAGAATGGGGATACAAGTGATTAACATGCCTTTAGGAACATTGGGAAAGCACCAGCCCTGCGCTGCCAGCCGACCATCATCAGCGATGGAATGAAATAGCCAGGAGGTACCGTAGTACAAGCCTCCTGCAGAGATGGGTGCGGCACGCCTTATCCGATGCCACAGCGTGATTGCATTGGCCTTAAAATTGACGCTACCCAGCCTCTGTACAAGCGGGTCCAGGACGCACTGAACGAAATTCCTGGTGCAGTATCTCTTCCTTCGCCCACCACAAAACAAATCGACGAGATATTTGCGCCGCATCAAACCATCCAAGAACACAATATCAGCAGATGGTACTCAGGGTGGAACACAGTCTGGTTAAGGACATGTTACAAGCCCTCAATGGCCCAAAGCTACGCTGAGCTCGCACGACTTTCTGGGGCTAACATCGAGGACGGCTGCGTTGAAAGTTTGAACCATGTTTTAGATGATTGTGCGCTTTATGACTTCCATGGACTGGATCAGGAAGTCCTGGATCAGCTTCTTCTTCGCATTCCCGGACTGACCGATGGTTTGGGTATAATGGACGAGTATGGAGATGGTAGTGAACTTGTTTATGGAAGTGCCATCTACCAAATCGAGAGGGAAGAGGACGGGAGTCATGTAGATCGCAACATCACAGATCAAGAGCTGTTCGATATCAGAGAAGTGGCTAACCGAGTTCAGAACTATGTGTATGTGGCAGACGAAGAAGCTATCGAGAAGAGCAGGGTGAAAATATGGTGGTTCGATGAGTTTGGAAAGATCATCTGGGACAGCTACGCTGAAATCCCAGATTCCGATTTGGATGGGCTGCGCGGTGCGATGATGGATGGGCAAGACTTTGTCGAAATTGTTGGAGAAGACGGCAAAAGGGGCGGTCAAATTGCCCGACCATAGCCAGTTCAAGAACGGATGACAGGGCCGGCACGACTTGGCAACGATGCTTTACCACCCATTTGTTTGAGAAGAACAAACCGACGTGGTAATTGCAAGAAGAGCATGGGTTATGCGATGCTGTCATGCGAGCACATCATCAAGCGGGGTATTGCGTGCTCGCCACCTCCGCATCTATGCAGCGAGACACAACCCGTTGCGATGGACTAGAAATAACCGGGAATAACGTCGCAGAATGTATAAAAGTCAAACAGGACTCCAAGTCGCCCAAGTCTCGTAAGTTGAAACTACTGCCAGCAACATGCCATCAGCGACGCTGCGACAGCCACCTTCCATTCCAAAGTGGGGACGGCCCAAGCAAACAACGAAGAAGCTAGACTGGGCAGAGATCAAGGTCATTGATCTATCTACGTATGACGAACCTAATGGAAAACAAAAACTGGCTGAAGAGCTGAGAGACGCAGTGAGTTGGCAGCTAAACTGTGCGACAAACGTCCCTTCTGACAACGCCGAAGGTGCACCACACGGGCTTCTTCAGCGTTACTGGCACTGGTCTAACGCAGGAAGAGATCGAGCGTCAATATGATATCGGTCAAGCTTATTTCGACTTGCCGTTAGAAGAGAAGGGCGACCCAAAGTACCGATGTGATTTCGCAAAGGGCAACTACTTTGGATACCGCGCTGTACGCCCCTCATATCCATGCCATTAGAAAGCAAATTACGCTTGTCTAACGCAAAGCCAAGGCCAACGAGAAGAAAATCATGGGCACCGCGGTCCTCGATAACGTTGAATCCCTCAACATACCCAAATTCATCCCTTCAAACTCCCACGAGCCATTTCCACACTTCCTCCACCCCTTTCGCCCAGAGATCGAGTCCTTCTCGCGCCGCTCTCTGGACATAGCATCCAAGATCTTCACGCTCTTCTCTTTGATCCTGGAACTACCCGAGACCTACTTCTCAGATCAACATCGCTATGACGACGCATCAGAAGACCATCTACGCTACATGATCTACCACCCACGCCCCGCTACCGACGATGCCAAAGTTCAGAATACTTGGTCTCGCGCGCACACTGATTTCGGAAGCTTGACACTACTCTGGAGTCAAGATGTTGCAGGTCTCCAACTCAAAACTCCGGCTGGAGAGTGGAAGTACGTTCCACCTGTTCCCAACGGCATCATATGTAATGTTGGTGATACTTTGTCCTTCTGGTCTGCAGGCTACTTCAGGTCGACTATCCACAGAGTAATCAGACCACCAGAGGATCAAGCGCATATTCATCGGCTGGGGCTGTTCTACTTTGTCAGACCGGGAAATGAGGTCGATATCAAGCCTGTGGCATCACCTTTGTTGAGAAGGTTGGGGCTTGTCGGCGAAGATGCCGAAGAAAGGGAGCCAGTGAGGGGTCTGGAGTATGTTAGGGAAAGA